AGGGCAACTTTTGCATCTCATTTGGAAACCAAGGACCCAGAGTATGCAGGAAGAATGGAGAGGCCAATCAAGCACAGTAATCCAATGATCATTGAACTAGTTTTTGGTGCTTTTGGCAAAATTTGCTGTCATCAGAAAAGAGGACTTTGGACCAAGGAGCAACAGGACTTTCAACTTTCTTGGCAAGATTTTGGAAGTCCTTTGTCATTGCTTGGTTAGTAGGGTTGAAAGAGAAAATGACTGGCCCAAGGTCACCCAGCTGGCTTTATGCCTAAGATCAAACTCACTCGTGCCATAACCACTATACCAACTTGGCTCTAGAGCAGAAATTGGCATGAATAAATGAAGTGATTAATCTCCCCCCCCTTTTTTTTTGCACCCAATTAAATGTAACAAAGTTTCATTGTCAATTTCCAAAGTTTCAAGTGCAATTTAGGCTTCAGAAGAATGAAGGCTACATATCCACAGCAATTATGACTATTATATTTTTCTGCCAAAAGAAACAAAGGCATTAATTTTGAACTTGGAACATTTTGATTATCTATTCAAAGCAGAAATGATATATTTAGAAGGATATGAATGTGCAATCATATTTCATCAAGGTGAACTGCATAGGTAAATTAATGGGACAGATCAATACAAGGTTCTTTTTTTACTGTTACAATTGTTAAGTTCAAGTGTTAAAAATGATTAATATCTTCTTTAAATGTCTGTATAGACAGTATAATATTAATGGTGACCACATGCATTTCCCAGGGTTATACGAATACTGTCAAATGCAAATTAATAATGACTTTTTAATACATATACCGTATTTTTCACACTATAAGACACACTTTGCCACCAAAAGTCTGTGGAAATGTCTGCGCTTCTTATAGAGCGACTATTGCAGTGGGGGAAAAGGGGGGCGGTTAGTGCAGCGGTGGCATTTGTAAGTGCCACCGGGAAACATAGGCGACTTCGCTGCAGAGCAGCTGATTGGCGGTTGGATTGGCCTCCTGCCTATCAGCTTTATAGGCAGTGGTGGCCAATCGCCGCCACCGCCCGATTGCCATTGCCTGTTCACCACCGCTGATTGGGGGCAGTGATCGGCCGGTGGTGAACAGGTAGCGGTGATCAGTAGCAGCGGTGAATGGACGGCGGCAGCAATCTCTGCCACCTAGAACAGCTGATTGGTAGTATTCCGGGAGGCGGATCCAACTGCCAATTAGCTGCTTGGCAGTGAAGGCTCCAGTGTTTCCCAGTGGAGGCAGCAGACATGGAAGAGGCAGACTGTTTGCTGCAAGGATGCTAGCCAGATGAATACTGAGTGGATGCTGGGAGGCAGAGGCAGATTTTTTTTTCTTGTTTTCCTCCTCTAAAGCTAATGTGCGTCTTATAGTCTGGAACGTCTTATAGTGCGAAAAATATGGTATATAGTTTCATTCTCAATCACTGTTGAGAAATTATTTTGTTTCTGCTTTAACTAGTAGGATTTAGAACTATAATATTTGTAAATACATGCCTTACCACTAAGGTATATATTCAATAGAAACACACATGATACTCATTGTTGAGATGGGACAGGATCTTCTGAAGTCAAGCTTACTTTAGTCTTGTGCTGGTTTAATTATTTAGTTTAAAAGAAAAAAGTCAAAATCAGTTGTGTTTAATTGAAGGATGTGCTGCTGTTTATATAAGTGTAGCCAGTGCGAGCATTTAAACAGTTGTGTCTAGAGTAGAATAGAATAGAATAGAATAGAATAACAGAGTTGGAAGGAACCTTGGAGGTCTTCTAGTCCAACCCCCTGCTCAGGCAGGAAACAATTTCAGACAAATGGCTATCCAATATCTTCTTAAAATCTTTTAGTGTTGGAGCATTCACAACTTCAGGAGGCAAGTTGTTCCACTGTTTAATTGTTCTAACTTACCTTCCTAGGTGATGATATTTGAGCTGGCAGAATACATACAGTCATTTCTCAGTGATTACAATAAACCGCCTTCAAAATCTTTCCATGAAGAAATGCTAAAGAATCAACAAAAGGAACAAGAAAGACTAGCCAAGGAAGAACAACAACGAATTCAAGACCTGAAGAAAAAAGAAGAACAGATGGTGAGAACGTTGCAGTATTTCTATCTTCCTCATCTTATTCATTTCATTTCTGTTCATCAGAACAGGAAAAAAAACCCATGCCTACCATCTGAATTATTCATTTATATGAGTATTGTTACTAATATATTTTGTACTATTCTTCCAAAAGATGAAGAACTGTACACATGAATAAATCAGTTACTTTTCCAATAGAAGAGAATATTCTAGCTCAGAGTTGAACTATGGAGTCCTTAGTGCTCTCTGAGCTTAGTTGTTTGCCTGCAGATGTTTTATTATCCAACTAGGTGACATCATTAATGTTAGTGAATGTGGAGTTTGCTTCCTGTTTATATATAGTAAAGCAAAACCCTGCCAATGTTGATGAAGGTGTGATTTCCTCCTTGGTAATTCCTTGATTGCTGTATTCTTTTCTGCTTGATCATTTACCTGGTGTTAATCTTCCAAACTCCTGCTTAGTAAAATAAGATACTGTTCTATCGCATATCAATGAATGTATTTCAGCAACGTGAAATTCTTGACGAAATTCAGAGAAGGGAGGAAGAAAAAAGAGAAGAAAGAAAAAGGAAGGAAATCGCAAAACAGGTATTATAAAAATATTTTCTGTATTGCCAAAGAATAGGGAAATACGTGTATCAACCAGTTCTTTCTTTCGTAGAATTCTTTATGAATTGGTTCAAAACGCCTTGATCCAGATATGGAGACTGCAAGCCATAAACAACATCTGTATTCTTTAGAAAGATTGGAGGCAGGCCTCTCATTTCCTTTACACCCTGCCAAGGTTTTTGTGAAGCAGTTCATTCTTCCAAATTAAAACCATCTCTCAGAGAACTTTTAAGATTAGAATTTCTCTCATGATGGGTTTACGAATGTTGGCTGTGGAATTCTGGGTAACATCTTAATGGCCAAGTTTGAAAAACACTGATCTAAATTCTCGGTGGACTTGGGAGCCACATACTTATTTGCTGTTCATCTCAGTGCAGGAATAAGCAGAGGGGAATAAACTGAATTGAGGATAGCAAGAGAAGGTTGGTGTGGTATTCTTACCATAGGTTTATATGTACCAAATCATAAAATGTTAGAATTTTACCAATGCAAACTCCCCCTCTTTCCTAATGGCTACCAGTATGTTTGACCTAGACTACCCTGATGCTTACATTTGTTCTTGGATTCAATAGAGATTTTGTATACAAAAGCAGGGTAGAATAAATGTCTCTGCCTGTTGCCTCAGGTTGCAAACTTACATTGTCAACACTGACTTCTTGAATAGCAAGGAAAATAATATTCAGTTAAGGAAGCACATCATTCTTTAATGCCTTCCCCCTCCCCGCAAGGGAACTGCGCTCAGGAGCCCATCTACACTAGTCCGTGACTTATTGTTTTACGACCTTTCAAAGTTATAACAGCCACAGAATGGATGATTTATGGTTTGCAAAGCACTCTCAGCCATCGTAAATTATTGTACTGCCCCTCCCTGCTATCATATGACTGTATGTTGGGTGGGTCAGCTTTACAATGGTCAGGGTACCCTGTGGTCACGTGAATACAATTTGCATTTTAATTTGTTTGTTTCTGGCAAAAAATACCCATCCAAATGAAAGGGATAGCTTAATGTCCACAGCGTTCACTTAATAACCACTGCAAAAAAGAAATATTTACCCCAAATTACTTCTTCTCATGTGAGTGCCTCAATTTATGACCATAATGATTTGCAACCAAATTTTTGATCCCAATTCTGGCTACAAGTCAGTTATTTAAAGGATTTTAGTGCACTAATGTGATTCACTTTCATCGCTACCTATCCAGGAACGCTTGAGTAACACCACTCTGACAAAGCAGGATCCTTCTACTGTTCAAGATGTTGCAGGGAGCAAAACGACTGTCAGCGTAACAACTGGTGCAACAGACCATATAGGGAATAATAAATATCGTGCAAATTCCACAGGACGTTCAAAGTATGTATTTATCACAACGGGTTAAGATATTTTAAGAGAATTAATTGCTTTGACTCATGAAATGTCTTGTTTTTGTAGATGCTCATGTCATTTCAAATGATATACAAATTTGTGAAAATTAACAAAAGAACAAAAATAATGAATACTTCACACATTACAATTACAAAAATAATATTGTAAGGCTGGATGAATACTTGTTTTCCATCAGTCTCTGTCTGATTATTCTAGTGGCAGGAGACTTAGACATTTTAGAAATTTGTTTATACCATTATATATGTTTAATTTTCCACTTACTGCAGATGAGTTAGATAAATATAGCAAACTTTGGTTTTTAAGTCCCCCCTATAGTGGACTTTGGATGCAATAAACAAACTCAAATTTCAGACAGTATCATCAAACAATAGATTTTGCCCATTATTAGGCAAATCAGCCTGAATTACATTCATATTTTATGCAAATATGTAATTAATTTATGCAAAAGCTATATAAGTTGTTAATTTTTAGTTCATTGTGTAAATTCAGAGTTCATAGACATTCAGTTATAATTGACTCTTCTTCACAGGAAGTCCATGAAGCTGAGGGTGTACGACATAAATAAATGAATTATATGATAAAATAGGAACATATATTTAAAAAATCTTCCTTGGTTATCTTTTTCTTTGAAAATAATATGCATTTTCTAAAGAACAAGATAATGACTTATCTTTCTGCAAATGCAGAATGATTGCATTTATCTTCTGTTTAATAATAGTTTAATTGAAATTAAAAAATGAACCAGGTTCTTTGGAAATACATTAATTTGCTATTAGTACCACATACTTAGACTAGTATTTTGACTACTTTCTCAGTGAATTTAGTGGCTGTTACAAGGGGGGGGGAGGGACACGTGTGTGTTTGTGTTTCTCAAAAGAAAATAATATTGATGTTGCCCATATAGGAGAGAGCGTCAGTATTCTAACTGCAGCAGTGAAGAATCTCCAGGAACATGTGAAATTTTGAACTTTAATAGCAGTGCAAACGGTCAGCTTAAAGTACACAAAGGAAAATGTATAGGTAAGCTGAACATCAATATATCAGAAATGCTAATATATATTGTGCAGGTTTGTCCATTTCTTTTCAAGGTAAAAACATATGTACCTATATACTTTGTGAAAGAGGAAAGCTAACCCACCTCCCTTTTTGTGATCCCGTATTTATTTGACAGTTCAAAGGATCCAATCTATTCATTTTTTATCTTTAAGCATCGTTAAATGTTACCAGCCAAATATTACATTTTTTTCAGTTTTGACATTGTGATTTTACCATTGTTTGCAGCAAATTATGTCAAAAAGCTATGATTTTTCCACCAAATGGAATCTCCACTGGTAATGGAATAGCTGTGATATCAGATGCTTATGCAAGTAAACCCTAGGGCAATGATGGTTAACCTTTTTTGGATCGTGTGCTAAAAGCGAGGGGAACACAGGGGGGTTGTGTGTGGGCGTGCCCACACCCATAATGCTATGCATGTGACCCCAGCGTGCATGCACATGCGACACCCCGCCCACCTGCGCATGCGTCTGCGACCAGCAGTCCCCCCCTCTTTTGGCACACCTTTCACCCTCCCTGGGCTCCAGAGGCTTTCTAGGAGCCTGGGAGGGTGAAAATAGCTTCCCTCCCCCCGCCGGAGGGCCCTCCAGAGGCTTCAGGAGCTTCCTTGAAGTCCGCGGAAAGCAAAATTCCGACCCTACGGGCAAACTGGAAGATTAGGAACAGACTTCCGGTTTGGCCGTAGGGCTGTTTTTTGCCTCTGGACCCTTCAGGAGGTTTCACTGAAGGCTTCGAAGGGTGAAAAACAGTCGTATGGTCGAAACCAAAAGTGACTTCCGGATTGCTCGTAAGGCTGTTTTCCCCCCTTTGGAGCCTTCAGGAAAGCCTCCAAAAAGCTCCAGAGGGCAAAAAACAGCCCTAGGAGCAAACTGAAGTCAGTTTCTGAATTTCCAGTTTGTCCATAGGGCCGGTTTTTCACGTTCTGTAGGCTTCAAGAAAGCCTCTGGCAGGTGAAAAACGGCCTTAAAAGAAGGCCAAAGTCAGCTGGCCAGCGCGCACATGAGTGCTGGAGCTGACGGGAACGCCTCTTGTGCCCTAACAAATGGCTCCGTGTGTCACCTGTGGAATGCATGCCATAGTTTCGCCATCACGGTCCTAGGGTGTGGCTAAAGTTGTACTGGTCATTCTGCTGAAGCAGCAAGCCGCTTCTGAATTTGAATAACAGTATGATGGCTTTTATGGTAGTAATAATTGTGAGAATGTTTGTCTCTCTATCATGAATGTGTGGTCTATTTGGGCAATTGTGAATTTCAACATCTTTTGATCATTTCCCCTTCCATATGAAAGATGATCAAACGCTGCATTTTTTTCCACAAAAAATATTGACAATTTTTTATTAATTTTGAATGCAACCTTACCTCACCCCGGTGTGTCTAAAACAATGGCAACAAAAGGGGACATGACATACCAAATGGAAGTAATGTCTAATTTAATATGAACTTGGAATCTATAGAATATTTGCATTAATAACCGATATCTTTATCTACCCCTCATCTAAAGGCAAAGATGAAGAACTTGGTAAATCAATCTACAATGCTTTAGATATTTGTTCTGGCAACTTTGTCCAAGTGCATGAATGGGTACTTCAGTGGCAAAAGAAAATGGGAAAATTTCTCACGACTCAAGAAAAGGAAAAGGTTGAAAAGTGTAAAAAACAGGTAATCATTCTTTTGTGTGTGTTTTATTATTGCTAGCTGAAAATTATAACTGGACATCAGGCACCTGAGATGTGCTGTATAACAAAGAACCGAATATCAGTAATGAATGTGAAACTCTTCCTGGGTACTTTGGAACAGAACAAGAAAGATAATATTTCTCCAATCTGCGGTCCTATAGATGCCATGATTCTGTGCCAATTCAGAGCACAAGTAAAAGACATTGGATTGAGCAGGTTAACATAAATTTCCAGTATAAATCTGTAGGCATGTTATTTTAATCATTAGGATTTTGCATGCTATGAAAATGATTTAGAAGCAGTGTTTTGCACTCATGCAAATGTGTGCGCATGCTATCTCTTTGCTATTCATTAAGAGTAGTCTGTCTGTCTTCTGGCTTCCAGGTCAGTATGTTTCAAGAAATCAACTCATTAATTCAAACTCTTTCAAAGATGCTAAGCTTGCTTCCTCTGAATAATTTGGGTAGCTTGCACCAGTGGTGGGATTCAAATTTTTTACTACCAGTTCTTTGGCCGTGGCTTAGTGGGTGTGGCATGGCTTGGTGGGTGTGGTAGGATACTGTAAAATCTCCATTCCCTCCCTACTCCAGGGGAAGGTTACTGCAAAATCCCCATTCCCTCCCAATCAGCTGGGATTCGGGAGGCAGAGAATAGATGGGGGCGGGGCCAATCAGAGGTGGTATTTACCGGTTTTCCAAACTACTCAAAATTTCCACTACCGGTTCTCCGGAACTGGTCAGAACCTGCTGAATACCACCTTTGGCTTGCACAGCCCTAAAGGCCAGCCCCATAATCCTTTCCTTCCATGATTCAGTTCTTAATGAAACATTCTGTATAAAAACAGAAAAATAATAGTTTGGACACATGATTAAAAGCTTACAAATGTCTTTTATCTAGCTTCCTCAGTTGACTGGGGTTCAGTTGATGGATTCAGTTGACTGGGGTTCAGTTGACCAGAGTTCAATGCTTTGTACGAAAAATATCTTAAGAGTAAGCCTATTTCTTCCATAATTCAATACTAATTGAAATGTTTGTTTCCTTTCAACAGATACAGGGAGCAGAAACAGAATTCAACTCTCTGGTGAAATTAAACCATCCTAACATCATGCATTACCTATCTATGACCTTTAAAGAGCACAGTGACTCAATTGTAGTACACATATTGGTGGAACACATCAATGGATCTAACCTTTCTATGTACTTGGACAGAGACATCCCGCTTTCCGTGGATCAGTTGCGCCATTACACAACTCAGCTTTTGTCAGCTCTTGACTATTTACATAGTAATTCAGTGGTCCACAAAGTTTTGAATGCATCCAGCATTCTGGTAGATACTGAAGGAAACATCAAGATGACTGACTACAGTATTTCCAAACGTTTAGCAGAAATCTGTAAGGAGGATGTTTTTGAGCAAACCAAAGTCCGATTTAGTGAAGATGCCTTACCCAACAAACCAGGGAAAAAAGGAGACGTATGGAGATTGGGTTTGATGTTGCTTGCTCTCAGCCAAGGATGGCAAACCAAGGAATATCCAATCATAATTCCAAGTGATTTGCCTGATGATTTTCAAGACTTTTTGAAAAAGTATGTAAATAACCCATAACATTTAACCATTATTGAACATAATAATGCATAATTATAATTTAGATACAGGTGGGAATCTTAACAATTTAAATAATTTAATAATTGCTCTTTGTGATTTTAACATGATTCAAGAATTACAAACCAAGATAATTATTTAGGTGTGCAAGTAGAATTTATGCATACAGAAATATGGCGGGTATTTTTTTTTTGGAAGTTTTTACCCTATTAGCTGAAGACAATAAAAAGCATGTATTACTCTAAAATCAAGATGTATTTTTACACCTTATATTGATTTTATAATGCTGTGTTAACTAACGGGTGGGTTGTTGTTAAATTTGGTTCTATACTTACATTTTTTCTTCTGGATTTTTTTCTATTCATTTTTTTAATTATTGGCTGGCTACTTATCGTATTTTTCAGAGTATAAGACGCACCTTGCTTATGGGGAGGAAAATAAAGGAAAAATATCTGCCTCTGCCTCCCAGCAATTTGCCTCCTTGCAACAAACAGCAACAGTGCAGACAATATACACTGTTTGTAGTGTTGCATTTCAGACTGTACTTCTACAGATGCTGTTAAAATTGATGTGCTTTCTGGAAGTATAGTTATTTTCTGTTATTTATAATACAATACAATACAATAGCAGAATTGGAAGGAACCTTGGAGGTCTTCTAGTCCAACCCACTGCCTAGGCAAGAAAAGCATTTATTTTAAAAAGCTTCTTCATTTTGTTACACTGTCTAGAACAATAATAAAGCAGTCTTTTAAAAAAGTCTAATAATTTGAACACTCTATAGGCATTTATAGTTATTGACTTATCTTCTTGCAGCAAACAGCTTGATTAGCACAAGGGGAAAAAAATCTGCCTCTGCCTCCCAGCAATTTGCCTCGTGGAGAGCCCTCGTTTTGCTGCAAGGAGGTAAATTGCTGGGAGACAGAGGGTTGGAGGCGATGGGTGGGTGGGGCTACATTCAGTGTATGACGCACCCGAATTTTCACCCTCTTTTAGGGGGGAAGGTACATCTTACACTCCAAAACATATGGTATATAATTTTCTTTTTTTACATTTCTTTACGTTGCATAATTTTTCCTTTATTTTTCCCCCGTGGCGAGATATAAGCTGTGCTTATGTGCTTCAGTACTTTGAGTTGTAGCCCAACATAATATTTCTGTTAGTTTTGTGGGACATAAAAGTCCTCAGACCCAGAAGAAGTATATTAGAAATAGAAAATAAATAGAAATCCTAAACTTTTATGGTTGTATTAAGTTCAAGAAGGTACTTCACAGTTATTTTGCATACCTAATTTTACTTTGACTGTGTATCATATAATTATGACTAGGGATTCTAATCAAATTTTGGGTCCTTTATTAGACCAGAATATTATCCACCTTTTTTTTTGTAGATAAAAAATATTGCAAACATATGCTGCAGTTTATTTTGGAGTATATAGTTCAGCTTTTAAGTCCTTTGTGATAATACACTTTTTTTAGTTGGATGTAAGAGGGTTTTTGATTTAGACTGTGTTTTGGTATCTTGAACTTTAAATAAATTAATACATATAATATTGGGATTTAAGATCACATCCCAACTACTAGAACAAATAGTGATTCTTTTTTTCCTGCATGGTATTTATCAGGTACATCTGATTAATGTTTTAATGTTTCATATTGTTGCTTTTATTGATTGTAAGTTACATAAAGTTGCCACTAGGTTGAGATGTGTGATATAAAAGTTTAATAAATAAATATCAGGATCAGTGTGTAAATTCATAGCAATCAACGTATGTTGTGGATTATGTGTAATTTCTGTCCATCTCCTCACATCCTCTACATTCTGTTCAGGAAGGAGAATTGGTTTGTGTTCTGCTGACAGAAAACTATACACAAAACCTGGGATTTTTGAAATGCTAAAATGTGAATATCTGAATAAAGTTATGTCATTTGGCATTATTATCTAACTTTATTTTTTTAGGATGTTGCTACCTAATTTTTCTCGTGATAAATTGCATATTTCTGTATTAGGAGAAATTGATTAAAGAAAACATTTTGCTTCCTGCTTAGCGATTTTCCTTCAGAAAGATCTGAGATTCTGTCTTCCAAGATTTCAACCCTTGAAGAGCACAAGGCTATAGAAGGCTATATGGGTAGTCCTCAACTTATAACCACAAATTGAGCCTGAAATTTCTGTTGTTAAGTGAGACATTTGTTAAATGAGTTTTGCCCTATTTTACATTTCTTGCCACAGTTTTTAAGTGAATCACTGCAGTTATTAAGTTAGTAACCCAGTGGTTAAGTGAATCTGGCTTCCCCATTGTCAGAAAGTTGTAAAAGGTGATCTCATGTCCCTAGGACATAGCAACCGTCATAAGTATGAACCAGTTGCAAAGCATTTGAATTGTGATCACAAGACCATGGGGATGCTGCAAAAGTTGTAACTGTGAAAAATGGTCATAAGTCACTTTTTCAGTGCTGTTGTAACTTTAAACGGTCACTAATGAACTGTTGTAAGTCGAGGACTATAAACACGTTTTGCAGCTTTAATTGCAAAAATGTCAAAGATTTATATAGTTACAATCTAAATAGCAATATTAACCTCTGTCTGTCTGGATTGCATTCAGGTGTGTTTGCTTGGAAGATAAAGAAAGATGGAGTCCTCAACAGCTACTACAGCATAGTTTTGTTAATCCACCACTAGTAAAAGCACCCATACTGGAAGAAAGCCCAGACGGTAAATATTTCAGTGTTTCTAATGTGCCAGCCTTTTAGGTAAACATATAAATGTGTTTTTAAAATTAATGGCATGTATCTTTAGATTGTGTTACGAGAACTGCATATCTAAATATAAAATGCATGTCAAAAATATTGAGGTGGTTTTCTTGTTTTTGGTAGAGGTTTATTTAAAGGTTTTGTTTGAGAGAATTTCAGATGTGCAATATCATAATTTCTAACACCAGTTGGAATCAAGAGGCAATAAAATAATTCTAAGCCATTATTTATGCCTGAACGGTCACAAAATGTTCGTATCTTATATTTTTCAGATGGGGAGTATTTTTGATGTAAATATCATATGAGTTCTGGGCTTCCCTTAGGCTTGAAAGCTGGATGGGTGATTTTGAGGCACCTGCCAATACAATTTTGTAGTAATCAGCACTTTAGACTGCAATAGAATAGAATAGAGGAGAGGCTTCAATCTCCCACACTGAAGGTCACACCAGCTTTTGTTAATTTTAAATATCAGGTTGTGTACAAGTCATCTCCCTTTCTATTATATATATATTTTTAAATTTCAGATTCATCAGCAATAGACGATATCGAAACTGTTATTTCTAGCAGTCACATTGCCAGTGATGTTCACGTCACAGAAACACAGAGGCAACTTTCACGTTATTACAATGAATTTGAAGAACTACAGCTGCTTGGAAAAGGAGCTTTTGGAGCAGTCATCAAGGTAAAGCAGTGTGAAACAAATTTTACTCTGTAGAATTGCTTTTACTTATGTGTGTAAGTGTGGTGGCGCAGTGTTTTGAATGCAGTACTGCAGGCTACTTCTGCTATCAGCTGCCTGCAGTTTGGCAGTTCGATTCTCACTAGGCTCCAGGTTCTCAGCCTTCCATCCTAGGTTGGTAAAATGGGGACCTAGATTGTTGGGGGTGATATGCTGACTCTAAACCTGCTTAGAGAGGGCTATAAAACATTGTGAAGCGGTATGTAAGTCTAAACGCTATTGCTGTTGCTAAATAAAACACAGATTGTGTAACAAAGGCTGACTATCCATTTGTGCAAGGAACAAAGACAAAAAAATAGAATTTATTTTTTGGGGAAAAGAAATGAGCGGGTGGCCAGAAGGAATTGTTTTTATATGATTTCCATCAGTGGTAGGATTCAATTTTTTTTTACTACCGGTTCTGTGACCGTGACTTGGTGGGCATAGCTTGGCTTGGTGGGTGTGGCAGCGGAAAGATACTGCAAAATCTCCATTCCCTCCCCACTCCTGGGGGAAGGATACTGTAAAATCTCAATTTCCACCCCACTCCAGAGCAAGGATACTGTAAAAATCTCCATATCCAACCCACTCCAGGACAAGGATACTGTAAAAATCTCCATTTCCATCCCACTCCAGGGCAAGGATACTGTAAAAATCTCCATTTCCATCCCACTCCAAGGCAAGGATACTATAAAATCTCCCATTTCCACCCCATTCCAGGTCAACGATACTGTACAATCTCCATTTCCACCCCACTCCAGGGCAACGATACTGTAAAATCTCCATTTCCACCCTACTCCAGGGCAAGTATACTGTAAAATCTCCATTTCCATCCCACTCCAGGGCAAGGATACTGTAAAATCTCAATTTCTATCCCATTCCAGGGCAAGGATAATGTAAAATCTCCATTTCCATCCCACTCCAGGGCAAGGATACTGTAAAATCTCCATTTCCATCCCACTCCAGGGCAAGGATACTGTAAAATCTCAATTTCTATCCCATTCCAGGGCAAGGATAATGTAAAATCTCCATTTCCATCCCACTCCAGGGCAAGGATACTGTAAAATCTCCATTTCCATCCCACTCCAGGGCAAGGATACTGTAAAATCTCCATTTCCATCCCACTCCAGGG